AGCTGTATGCCGTACTCAGACTGGATCCTAGAGAGAGCTATTGACCTGATGAAGAGAACTCTCAGCTCCCTAGGAGAGGAGATTCCTGAGCCCTACGCCCGCCCCAGTTCCTGGAGCCACAAAGGGAGAGACACCGAGGGGGACGTGGAACCTGCAACCCCAGGGACATTTACTGATCCAGGAGCTCCCACCCCCTACCGGACCCACGATGGAAATCTGGACGGAAGACACTACCACCCACAATGGAGGCACCGATCCATTCCAAGACGTCCACCGTTGGAGGTGAAATTCAAAGGGGAGCCAACACGCTTGGGGTTTTTCCTAACCCAAGTCCTCAGCTACATGGAGGAATATGGGCAGGACATCCCCAGCGACCAAGCCCGCATCCGGATCGTGCAATCTGCCCTGGATGGACCAGCTGCAGATTGGGTGGTGAACCTGCATGACTCCAATGCCCCAGAACTCAGTAACTTCAACCGTTTCATGTCCTCGTTGAGAAGACGATTTGAAGACCCCCTGGCTGATCGCAAAGCCCGTGAAAGAATAACAACGATGAGGCAGGGCAAACGCCCAGTGGCTGAGTATACACAAGAATTCCGAGCCATTGCCAGCAAACTGAATTGGCCAGAAGACATCCTCCTTGGCCGTTTCAAAGACGGACTAAACTATGATCTATATGATGCTTGCCTGCCCCGAGGAGACCCACATCGACTTGAGGAATGGTACGTCTTGGCAGAGGAAGCAGAGATCGACATATTGAAGAGGCATCGCCGAGGAAAACAATGGAGCCGCCCCCCGCCTGAGCTGACACACCAACCGGTGAAATCATCGGATACAGCCAAGAAGCAGATGGGGTGTTTCAAGTGCGGAAGAGAAGGGCATCGAGCTGTAGAATGCCGCTCAAAGGCCCCCCAGCACAACCCAGACAGATCCCCAATCAACAAACCCAGAGGGTATTCAGCTAAGCCAAAAGAAACAGCCATGAAAATGATGGAAATTGCAGAAAACCCCACCTCTGCTCACCAAGGGGAAAGAACTCCAGCCTACACCACAGGGACGGTGGATGCCTCAGATGACAGCTCGGAAGGCGAACCCCTGGTAAGTGGACGCATCACACCCATCTTCAAAACAGTGACTATATTAATCCCCCCCATGCCCGAAGCTGTGAAGGTGAAAGCCTTAATAGACTCTGGCTGCACCCGCTGCCTCATTAGCCCAACACTAGTGGGGAATCTGGGCATCCCATCCAGGAGACTGGAACAACCAATCTCATTTGGCCAGCTAGATGGATCCATAGCAGGGGGGGTGCCAGCTACCCTAGCCACTCTGCCAATACACCTCTCCCTGGGCAACCATGAAGAGGACTTAACGTTTGTGGTGACCCCAGGTATGGAATGCCCAATGATTCTAGGGATGGAATGGTTGAAAAAATGGAACCCCTGGGTAAATTGGAGGACGACAGAAATCAAATTCCCGAAGGGGGACCCTATGGACTTAAAACCCCAAGAGAGGCTCCCAGAATCAAGAATAGAAAAAGCATCCATAGGAGAGGAAAAAAGATTAACAGAAATACCAGAGGAATATAGGGACCTTGCTGAAGTCTTCAGTGAGGAGAGGGCGAATGAGCTTCCCCCCCCACCGACCCACAGACTGTACCATTGAATTCAAGCCTGGGGCAAAACTCCCGAAACCCAGATTATACTCCATGAGCCCAAAGGAGAAGGAGGAAATGGAAAGATTTATAAAAAACAACCTGGAGAGAGGTTTCATTGAACCAGCTAAGCCTAAAGTGGCTGCCCCGGTCCTTTTTAGAGAGAAGAAGGATGGCTCTTTACGTTTATGCGTGGATTATAGGGCCCTGAACACAATCAGTGAAAGCAACCTATACCCGCTGCCCCTCATGAAAGACATGCTGTCACACCTATCGAAAGGGAAAATTTTTTCTAAACTAGACTTAAGGGAAGCTTACTATCGCGTGAGAATCAAGGAAGGGGACGAATGGAAGACTGCATTTAACTGCCCCATGGGGTGCTATCAATTCAAAGTCTTGCCATTTGGATTACAAGGGGGCCCTGCAGTCTTTATGCAATTAATCAATGACGTTCTAAGGGAGCACCTGTTTAAGGGGGTCCTTGTTTACTTGGACGACATTCTTATCTTTACTGAAACAAAAGAAGAACACGTCAAACTTGTCAGAGCGTTTTTAAAGAAGCTGCGAGCCGCTCACCTATATGCCAAACTCTCAAAATGCGAATTCCACCAGGAAAGGATAGACTACCTAGGCTATCGCATATCCCCACAGGGCATTGAACTGGACCCAGAGAAGGTCAGAGCAGTATTAGAATGGGCACCACCCCGCACAAGAAAGCAACTACAAAGTTTCCTGGGCTTTGCAAATTTTTACCGCCAAGTCATCCCCTCATTTGCACAGATAGCCTTGCCCCTCACCAACTTACTAAAAACGAAGGGAACATCCTCAGTAAAACCTAGCCAGCCACTAACATGGACAATGGAGTTCCAAGCAGCGTTTGAGAGACTAAAGAGACTTTTTTCTGCCGAACCAGTACTAAGGCACCCAGATATGGACAAGCCCTTCATAATACAGGCAGATGCAAGTGATGTGGCAGTGGGGGCTGTGCTATTACAAGAAAATGATGATGCAGTATTGCAACCCTGTGCATATACATCCAAGAAACGCACGGAAACAGAACAGCGCTGGCCCGTATGGGAGAAGGAGGCTTATGGGATACGTTGGGCAGTACTCACGTGGCGACAGTTCCTGGAAGGCAACAAAATCCCCTTCCAGGTATGGACTGATCACAAAAATTTAGAAGCCCTGAAAACTTCCAGGAAACTCAATCCCAAACACGCCCGCTGGTCCCAGCATTTTCACCAATTCCAATTTAAGCTCAAACATTTACCAGGACGAAAGAACTTCCTGGCAGATGCACTATCTCGCATGCCCCAATATAACAGCGCACGAACCACAGACTCTAGACCAATAATGGCAGAATCACAACTGGCATCGCCAGTAACCACAAGAACCCAAGCCAAAATAAAACCACAACTGGACAGCCAAACTGGGATTGAATTCAGAAAAAGTTTGGAAACAGATGATTGGTTCCAGAAAAACAAACATGTGTGCACAATGAGAGACGGATTGCCTTGGGTAGGAGAAAAGTTATATATACCAACAACTCAAAGACTAACTTTCATGCAACTTTGCCATGACACAAAATCAGCAGGGCATTTTTGATTTGTAAAAACTTTACACTTAATTAAACGGCAATTTTGGTGGCCATCAATAAAAAAGGACATAGAAAGTTATGTTGCCAGCTGCCCAACCTGTGCATCAGCAAAGAGGTTGCAAGGGAAATCGCCAGGGCTGTTACAACCAGTGGCAAGTCCCTCAGCCCCCTGGAGGGAAATAGCCATGGCTTTTATAGTGGAATTGCCTGAAAGCAATGGGAATACTGTTATCTGGACAGTCACGGACCTATTTTCCAAACAGGTGCACTTTATCCCTTGCCAAAAAATTCCAACTGCAAAGGCCTTAGCAAAACTTTTCATCCAGCACATTTACAGATTGCACGGGGCAAAAAAAAAAACGAATCATGTGCATGGGAAAAAAAAACAAAAAACAAAGCCAAAATAAAAAAACCACAACAAAAGCTACCCCAACACTAGCATCATCTCTGAGAGGGGAGTGCAATTTACGTCGACATTTTGGAAGGAATTTTTATCCCTCTTAGGGACCACTCAGGGACTGACATCTAGCCATCACCCTCAGACAGATGGACAAGCGGAACGCTGCCAGTCGGTACTTGAGCAATATTTGAGATGTTTTTTAAATTTCCAACAGAGTGATTGGACGGACTTACTGCCTTTTGCAGAAGTTGCCTACAATAATGCAGTCCACTCCAGCACAGGCTACACTCCTTTTCAAATAGCCAACGGCCAAAGTTTCAACCCTATGCCAGAGTTAACCCCCAAAGAACCAACGATCCCTTCACTGAAAGAATGGATGGAAAACCTACAAAACACCTGGCCAATAGTCAGAAAATCACTAGATGAAGCTAGGCGGGCATACAACGCACAAGCCGATAAAAAAAGGGTTGAGCCTACACCATTCATTATAGGAGAAATGGTGTACTTCTCTACAAAATACCTAAAGTCCCTACAGCCCTGTAAAAAACTTGGACCAAAATATATAGGACCTTTTCCAATTAAAAGGATCATAAATCCAGTAACAGTAGAATTAGAATTACCCAAAAACCTCAGGCAAATACAACCAATTTTTCATTGCAGCTTGCTGAAAAGAGAGCATCAGTCACCTCTACGGCCAAAAATCCCCCCCCCACCACCTCCAATCATGGTGGAGGGGGAACCACACTTCGAAATAAAAGAGATCCTTGACTCTAGGAGATATCGTGGAACAACTCAGTACCTAGTTGCCTGGAAACACCTCCCTGCCTCACAAAATGAGTGGGTCCATAAACGTCACGTCAGAGCCCCGAAGCTATTGAAGAAGTTTCACACAGAGTATCCTAACAAGCCTAACTACATTTTTTACTTGTGTTTTCTTTCAGGTGGATCTCTCTTATTGTTAAGAGGGGCCGGATGTCAGAATCCAATTATATTTCATCTTTAATTATCAAACATAGAAACTCCCAATTCTGCCTTCTCTGGATTCTGCCATAAGAGGGAGAAAAGGGGGAGAGCAAAGGGGCTTTATGGCCCACACTTCCTTCAGCACACTTCAAAGGACTGAATGTGTGTTTATTGTGGCCTCTAAGCTTTAACATATCAAAGAAGAGTAATTGCCTTTCATGTAGTTATCTGAAGTCTCCATCCAGACTGAAGAAGAAAGGGGATGGAATTGTGATACTTGAAACTATCACTGGAAGGGGGGTCGATTGGGTGGGACTACTGGGGAACCCCTTAAAACCTTGAATGGGAGAGCTTGAACCCCAAGTCCTGTCTAGCATGCCTGCAACCATTTTCTCTTAATAAAGGATTCCTGTTGGAAGAGCTATTCCAAGAGTTCTGTCTTCTTAAGATGCAAAGTGGGGTGGGTCCTTACATTAACTGATCATCACTGTGCATCCATCAGGCCGTTTAGGTTCACTATGTGGGTGTTCAGTCATTCTCAGAAAGAATAAGCAGTTATGCCTGCATTGTGCTGATCATAGACTTCAGTTAACATTAGTACTGTTACAGTATTAAGGAATGCCTCGTTGCCACAAAACTACAGAAAGAAATAGGAGGAATTGTGCACTTTTTTGCAGCATTTGTTTTAATTACAAGAATTCAGAGTCTTTCTTATCAGATTTCAGTGCTGTATCCTTTGGGATAATAAAAAATCCTTAAGCAGCCTTCAAGATAATTTGAGCTTAACACTGCTGCTCTAAAATATATTGCCTCATAAAAATAACATTGATGAGCAATTCACACTTAAAACAATGAATAAAGCCTAGTTCTTATTCTTTCAACATACAAATCACTCAGATTACTGTTAACTTTTTGGAGGAAAAATAAGAGACTAAATTGGAATACATAATTACTTTTATTTTTCAGGTAACATTAATGCCTGGTTCATACACTATATTCAGAGTAAGATTATTACCAAAAGAACTTGAAGGGATCCATGATGGAGCTATACAAATCACAACAGATTATGAGGTACTTCTCAATTCTAAATTATATTGATCCTGAAAGTATCATGTATGAAAGTAGAAACTAAACAAATTTAAAAAGGAAAAACCCATGCACTTGGAGGTAGCTAGTTTGATTTCAATTACTGATCTTTTTTTGTTTTGCTTACCAGTATATTCATTATGTACTGTAATGAATACAGTACATAATACTCATTTACAGGTAATCCTCAATTTATGAATGGTCATTTAACTACTGTTCAAAGTCACAACAGCCTCGAAAAGAGTGCTTCACAACCCCTGGCCTAAAGCATCCCCATCACCACTGTCATTTGACTGCATTTTGGGTACTTGGCAGCCACCTCAAATTTATAGCTGGTTGCCAAGTTCCCCATGGTCATGTGATCAACATTAGCAATCTTTTCCACCAGCTTCTCCAGAGAATCAAATGGGGAAGCTGGCAAGGAGGGCTATAAATGGAAGGGAGCTGAAATTCTTCAGTAGGCTGTAGGAAAAGAAAAGAAATCTTAAGGATTCCAGTTCTGTTTCTGCAGTTTGCTATGCAGCCTGTATGTGCGACTTGCACAGAAGTGAGAGGAAATCCTTTGTCAGATTGCAAGAATATTTGAGAGTGGAAAAGCTGCCTGCAGCAAGGATTCGAGTTCCACTTAACTTTCCAGGAGATCATTTAATGACTAGCTGGGAGTGCCAGGATTGCAGTTGTTGAGTGAAGCAATTACGAGGGCATCTTGCTTAACAACTATGTTGCTTAGCGACAGACATTTTGATCCCAATTTTGGTTGTAAGTTGAGGACTGCCTGTATGAACAGCTTTTTTGATGTCAAAACCAGAAATTTTACTTCTTTTTATAAGTTTGTTTTCTGAAAGTAAGTTACATTAATCTGATATTTTTGTAACTTTGTTCAAGTACACAGGAAAAGTGCTAAATTGCTGTAACATAAAAGTGACCCAGACCCAAAAAAATGCAAAGCACAGGGCAGTTTGATTTGTTTAAGAAGCATTAGCTTCTTAATCACAAATCTGATACAGGAAGGCATCATGAATTTCTTTTATTTCTGATTTTTAATTCTGGGGTAGTAGATCTTTGAAAATAATGGTGGATATTAATTTAATTTTTTAAGTAAACATAAGCATACATATGTTTATAAAATTGATTTTCATAACGCATAAGTGTTATCAGTAGAAATGATGGTACAAAAATTAATCTGATTCAGATTATTACGTTTATATTGCTTCTTCCCTTTTCTGTAGATCTTAACAATTCCTGTGAAGGCTGTCATTGCTGTAGGCTCCTTAACTTGCTCTCCAAAACACATTCTGCTTCCACCTTCCTTTCCAGTAAGCATTTATTTGGAATTTTCAAAAGATTTTTCTTGGTTTTTGGCTTTCATGATGGGTTCAGGGAAAGTTTTGCTAAATAAAAGGTATGCTGATGTTGCAGGAATTCATTGAATGCTTTGCACTATAAGGCAATTAGGTACTGAATTGTCTTAATTTTTTTAGCAAACTTGGAGTGCTTTCCTAACTTGCTTATTCATAATTATAAAGTAGGTAGGCTGAGTAACTGAATCTATCTAATCTCTAAGAAGATAATATTAAGTGTTTCAATTATATTTGTGACTTAATAAGCAACTATGGTTAAAACACAATTTTTTGGCCTTATTTTTGATTCAAGGCAATTTCTTTTTATGTTCTTTAAGAATAAATGCAAGTAATTCCCATGCTGCTGCACGTTCAAAAATATAACTGCTTCTGCTCTGCAAGTGTAACTAATTTTTGCATGAGTAGCATTTATAAACTTGAATTTATGATATGTGTACAATACCTGTTAAATAGCAAACACCCACACACATACACAAAACCTATCAGAAAGGGAACTTCCTATTATATGTAGGACAAGTGATTGTTTTCATTCTATTACAGTGGAATTTTTCTTAATGACATTGTCAAAGTTCTGTTGTAGAGTAATGATAAATATGATAAATCTTCAGAGTCAGTTAAACCTACAATACAATGGAAACTAATTGAATAGAAAAACACAATTGGTGAGAATCAGGAAAAGGTTAATATAAAGGAAGTAAGATAAACATATAGGCAAAAATAGCTGGGTCTGAGAAAGGAAGAAGAGAAGTCATAAAAATATATTTCCTCCTCCAAGGTGGGATCCTTGGAGGAGGAAAGGGTGTACTTGATAGATTCTGGAGCCACCAGATTTACCCTGAACTATATACCTCCAGGAATGCAAATTGGGAAAGGGAAGATTAAGGATCAGGCAATTATGGACATGTAGTAGAAGCAACAATGTTTAAATCTGCTATGGTCCAGACAGTAGTAAAAGGACCTGAACAAAAGTATGAAAATATGTGGGGTGATTGGAGTTGGTTAACAAATTGGCTTCCCAATTTTGGATGGTTCAAACAAATATTTATAGGACTAGTGTTTATAGTTGCGATAGGTATTATATGTTGTGTTTGTCTCCAATGTTTACCCTGCTGTATTTCATTTTGCACCAAAACATTGGGGTCAGTAGCGAAAAACATCTCTGGAGAAGATGTAAAGATTCAATTTATGTTATCTAATAAAAATGAAGATTCATCAGAGTATACAGAAATACAGGGGGGGATTGATAAATATGCATCAATATGATAAATCTTCAGAGTCAGTTAAACCTGCAGTACAATAGAAACTAATTGAATAGAAGAACACAATTGGTGAGAGTCAGGAAAAGGTTAACATAAAGGAAGTAAGATAAACATATAGGCAAAAATAGCTGGGTCTGAGAAAGGAAGAAGAGAAGCCATAAAAATATATAGGAAATGGCTAGCCAGGAAAAGACAGGTTGGAGAATAGGAAAATAAGCTGAATAAGATAAGAGGAAAGGATATTTTTAGATGCTGAAAAAGCTTTTGATCAATTGAATTGGCAATTTATGTTAAGATTAATTGAGAAAATGAATTTTGGAGAAAAAATTTTACAAGCTTTTGGTCTTATTTATCAAAAACAAACGGCACAACTTATTGTTAATGGGGGTTTATCAGAGGTCTTTACAATTGAAAAGGGGACTAGACAGGGATGTCCATTGTCACCACTGTTATTTGTTTTAATTTTGGAAATATTGTTGATTAAAATTCGAGAATCACAGGAAATAAAAGGAATAGAAGTTAATAAAAAAGAATATAAATTAAGAGCTTTTGCAGATGACTTAGTGGTCACCCTGTCCCAACCCACTTATTCTGTAGTAGAGTTATTACAATTGATATACCAATATGGACGGGTTTCGGGTTTTAAAATTAAAAGCAATAAGACTAAAATATTACCTAAAATATGACCATTTTGGATAAGCAGACTTTGGTTAAGTTGACAGATTTTGAGGTTGTTGACAAGGTAAAATATTTGGGGGTTACTTTATCTGTTTCCAATGCAAAATTGTACAAAAATAATTATGAAAGGTTATGGGTCAGGATACAAAGAGACTTGAAAAATTGGGAGAAATTGCAATTATCCCTTTTGGGAAGAATTGCGGTGATTAAAATGAATGTCCTGCCAAAGTTTCTTTTTTTGTTTCAAATGATACCTATTTTAAAGAATGAGATTAATTTAAATGAATGGCAGAAAAGTATCAATAAGTTTATTTGGGCGGGGAAAAAACCAAGAGTAAAACTTAAAATAATACAAGACATTCACGAGAGAGGTGGACTTAAGGTACCGAATTTGAAATTGTACTACGATGCGGTGGTTTTAACATCAATTAGTGATTGGGTTAATTTAACAATAGGGTTTTTAAATCTCATATTATAAGGATTTCTCTATTTCGGGTTTGGAGGAAATATTACAGAAGTGATTTTAAAATTCCATTATGGGCTGTACCCTGGCATGCGATAGAGGGGATAAGGAGAGGAGTTAAGATGGATGGTGTTTCTTATGCACAATTACTTTGATGGGATGGTAAAAACTGGCAGTTAAAATCTTTGGAAAACCTAGCACAAGAAAATATCATATATTCATGGTTTCAGTATAGACAAATAGTGGATAGATGGAAGTTAGACTGTAATGTGGGTTTACTTAGAGAAGATGAAAATTTTCTTAAACAAGTAAAAGACCAAAGACGAACTCATATTAAGAGAATTTATGTGGTGCTAGTAGAATTGGATTCAGAGGCAGAATTAATTAAAGAATGTATGATTAAATGGGCACAAAATTTTGGTGAACCAGTTCTACTAGATACCTGGGAAATTATTTGGGTGAGGAATGTCAAATTTACACAAGCCCAGAACTTAAGGGAGAATTTTTATAAAATGTTTTACAGATGGCACCTTGATCCACAAAAATTGTCTCGTATATATCCTGACTTACAGCCTAAATGTTGGAGATGTGGTTGTTTGGATGCTACTTACTATCATATTTGGTGGTCGTGTAAAAATATAAAAGCCTTTTGGATTAAGATATTGTGGAATATTCAAAGAATTTTTAGAAGGAGGGTAAAATTTACCCCACAATTGTTTTTATTAGGTATTGTTACTGACTGTGATATTAAAGAGACAACATTGATGTTAAATTTAATTACAGCCGCAAGGCTGTTAGTAGGGCAATGTTGGAAGAAGGAATCTCTGCCTACTTTGCAAGAGTGGCTTTTTAAAGTTTCTTATTTGGCAGAAATGGCAAAGATTTCGGCTTTCTTGAAGGATCAATCGCAGGAGAAGTATTTTGCGGTATGGAAAAAATGGATAGATTTTATACAATATAAGTTGGATGTTAAAAAATATTATTTAGCTTTTCAATAACTTATATTTAAAATTTAAAATATTTTTTAGATTTTATTTTTTTCTTTTTTTTCTTTTTTTTATTCTTTTTTCTTTTAAGTATTATTCTTTTGATAGTTATATTTCCTTATATATATATATTATTGTTAATCATCTTATAATTTGTTTAATGTTTTTAGTATTTAGATTTAATTATGGTTTATACTTTCTTTTAGATTATTCGAAGAAATCTTAATTAAGCCTATGTTCAGCTCTGGGAAGCTCGGGGGAGGGAATGGGAGGGTTGGGGAGGTTTGGGGATGGGTTGTTTTATTTCTGAAAAATTTTAAAAAACTTAATAAATATTTACAATAAAAAAAAGATAATAGGAAAGGCACACTGAATTGAAAAGCAGGAAAAGAACTTATTGTTTAAAATGGGGATATAAATATCTACTGAGTTTAAAATAACCATTTAAATGTCTATTTTTTCTTATTATTGTATATGTGAATATGATTTAATATGTTATCAGGAAATGTGTATAGGCGGTTGGAAAGAGTATAACCTCATAGTATCTCAGCCAATGGGGAAAGAGGAGGGATGTGGCGGCCGGGACAAGGGATGTATAAAGAAGGAAATATTTTGGGTTAAAACTTTGGAGAGAACCAAGCTTTGATAGCTTCTCTCTCCACTTATTGCAATAAACAAAACAAAAGGCCTTCACTGTGTCTTGGCTTGTTATTGGTCAGGCGAGCTTGCCTCTGGTCACAAAGGAAAGTGGCCAGGAGCACATAACAGTAACATGTAAAATGGAGAAAAGAGAGACTAAACTAAATTCAGCTTTATATCAGTAGACTTAACCTTATTTCACTTCTTGCACATCTCCAAGTCTTTGCTGGAATATTTCTGAGCCTCCAGAACATATTTGGAGAGATATACAAAAAGGAGATATCAATTTCTTCAACAAATAATGGCTTATTTTTTGCATCTAGGCCAGGGGTCTGCAACCTTAAACACTCAAAGAGCCACTTGGACCCGTTTCCTAGAGAAAAGAAAACACTGGGAGCCACAAAATTTGCATGCGCACGTGTGCACGCACTCAAGGGGTGGAGAGCTTGATTGAAGGAGTTTAATTAAAAAGAAATAGAGGCTGCTGTGCATGAGTTCTCTCTCTCTTTCTCTCTCTCTCTTTCCTCTTTCTCTCTCCCTCTCTCTTTCTCTCTCCCTCTCTCTTTCTCTCCCTCTCTCCGATCTTCTGCTCACCTGGCAAGCTGGCTTCAAGCTGTTCTTCAACAAGTTGACACAGATTCTTATTGGGCTGGCTCTCTCCTGCCCTTCCTGCTTCCTGCTTCCTGCAGAGACGCAGCCAAGGCAGGAGCCCCGCCCAATAAGCTTGTCAGCTCATTGGAGGACAGGGTGAGGCCACTCTCTTTTTTACACACACACACAGAGAGAGAGAGAAGGGAAGTGCAAGTACCTTTATCTGTCTCTGTCTCTGTCTGTCTCTCTCTCTCTCTCTCTCTCTCTGTAAATGGCAGAGGAGGCTGGGAGCCGCAGGAGAAGGTTCAAAGAGCCGCATGCGGCTCCGGAGCCATGGGTTGCCGACCTGTGATCTAGGCACTCTAGAAGTTTGCTCACTTTATATAATGTAGCAACAAAGTATACACCTATACTTAGATGAAGATCTTATATAAACAGGCAACATATCAGTACTTTGTGATTTAACCCTCAGTTGTATATCATTCTTTTTATCCTATTTGTTATTGACCAAAAGATTAAAAAAATACTTTAGTCATATAATAATCATATTGTATCTAGTCATTTATGACTATGATGAATGTCTTAATGTTGGTGAGCTGCAATTTCCTACTGTCTCAGCTAGTATGCCCAGTGACGAAGAATTCCTTATATAAATATCTGAACAAATATTTGGTTTCTGTTTCTACAAGCTCTTCGTTAAATAATTGAGTTTGCTACCCTAATTTCTTCATGTATTTTTATGTTCATGAATTTTAGGTTGAGTGCATCACATTAAAGCAGAATAACTGGAATAGCTTAGGTGTAATAATGAAAGATTTCCTTTTACAGTTCAGTATCCTCTGACTGAACAGTTCAATCCTAAACACTTTAATAAATTGGCAGATTTTGAAACATTTGCACGAAAGCATTTCTTCACTTGTGATCATTTAAACTATAAAAAATCATTCAACTGGTGTGGCTTAGAATAGCCTAAATGAAATGTTAAAGTGAATGTTTTTATAGTGGTCTCTGAACATGTCAAACAATTTAAATGTTTTTAATAAATGTGTCAGAATTTTGTCACCCTGGGCACGAAAGTATTAAAACGAAAACATTTATATTTCTTCTTCTAGGGCAAGGCAGTTCATCAAAGTTTGAGTCTTATGAATTCTTTCTCACAGAAGGTGAAAATACAACAGATCCGATCATTATCAGAAGATGTTCGGTTTTATTACAAGAGAATACGAAGTAACAAGGAAGATCTAGAACCAGGGAAAAAATCAAAGGTTTGAGCATTTGAATATGATTCATATGAACAGAATTATCGTGTGAGAGATTATGTACTAGAATTGTCATCATTTCCCAAATCTTCCAGAGGCATGATGGGAGATGGGGAAAGGGAAAGGGTTTTTTTTTTTTTCTTCCTTTAGTTTTCTGTCTTTATGGGAGGTTTTTTTTTTTTTTTTTTGGTCTCTTTTTACTGGAATCAGTAAGAAGGAAATTATTGCATTGGTGAAAACACTGACATACTTCAAGTATATTTATTGGGGATCATATAGGGCTTAAAATTCTGTAGATCACAAACCCTCTCACACATCTTTGAAATTGCATATATACAACTACTAAAAGGATTCTGAGATTCTCAGGTATACAAATGGGAAGTATTACTCACTTTTATAGTCTAAAGTAGCGTTTGCCAGTATTAAGAGTACACTATATTTGCTGTCCCAAAATATATTGTTGTTATTCAGGGTGTTTCCATCTTGCTTATATTTTTCAGATAGCTAATATTTATTTTGATCCTGGTTTACAGTGTGGAAACCACTGTTATGTAGGTTTGCCTTTTCTGAGTAAATGTAAGTAATAATTTCTATAATTAAGTATTAAAGGCGCAGTTATTGTTGAAGTTATTTTGGATTAAATAATGTATCGGTTGTTGTTTTTTTCCTAGCTGAATCAAAAGTACAGCACAGTATATCAATGCAAGAAGATGCATGGGATTCAGATTGGGAGTTGCATGATAATTTATTCAGAGAATGGATTGGAATAAGAGATTATTCAAACAATCAGTGAGTTTATTTTAAAATATAGTAACTTTTGAGTTAACTCTGATCTTTTAAGATAGGTCATTTGCTTGTGAAAAAGTTGTAAATGATATGTGTTAAGCAAATAAGAAATATAAAAGAAATTATTTTCTAATGAAATTGCAACAATCAATTTAGAAATTAGAAATTTAAGGTAAACCATTTGACAAATATACTGAAGAAGTTATCATAGATTAAACTGTAATAAGTGTTTTTCCTTAGTTATACTA